GTGGTGAAAGGCAGGTGGCGGAACGGGGTTTGCACTTTTCGTTGCATGATGCTTGCGCACCCTTAAGTTCTTTCATAGTTGTATCAGTGCATACTGCCTGCCGCGACGCGTGTGACCGATTGGGGCATGAGAGCACTAAACGGGTCATGACATCACGAAGCCCGGATGCATCGGGCTTTCCGGTGAGTGCATGGCGTTAATGGGGAAGAAGATGGGCATTGTAGATACTGTACGGAGATGAGTTAGTCGGTTCCCGCTCTTTCTGTATTCTTATATACGTAGTCAATTTGTCGGAGAACCGAGTACAATGAACGAGTCTGCCAGTTCTCTGTCTAGTGGTGGGTGGATGTAAGGTGGGGACCTGGGCGCGTGCTTTTGCACGCGCTGCCTACGTCCTCCGCGGTGGGTGTTGCTGCCTCTGCACCCTCGGGAAGATAATCCCTGGCGACATTCAAAGCAAGAGCTGCAGCGCCTTTGACCGGGAATTGAAAGGTGGACCTGTTCGTCCGTCCATGAGAGAGGGAGTCGGGGGTTGACGGCGTTTTAAGGAGGTAAGGAGGGTACGAAACCGGGGTGTAGTTTTTTTAATCCATGAGATGAAGGGGTGAGCAAGATAACCAAAGATGCATTGGTGATGTGCATGGGCCATCAGTCGTAGTGGTAGAGAGCTATCTGCACCGAACGACTGTCGGGAAAGAAGACTACTGTGGGGAGAGAAGATCAATAGGTGGCATTGGCTGTGAGGTTGCCATTTGGAGAGCAACCGAGAGCTGAAGAGAGGTTGATAGGTGGGTTTGGCTGGTCGCAAGGGTGCCTCTGCAGAGCGACCAGGAGCTGAGTGGCTGACTGGTTGGTGGGGGGGGGGGGGGGGGGGGGGGGGGGGGGGGGGGGGGACTTGTCTGAAAGGGGCGCGTAAAAGACCTAGTACGGGGTCGAAAGGGAAGATTGGAAGGGAGCAAGAAGAAGAGAGCGTGGAAATAGGGCGCGGAGGTGCGAACGTCTTAAGTATGCCGCCCAATGTGGGCCCTGTACGCGTTCGTCCGCCGACCGTTCTGTCTGAGATTAACGTGCATCCGAATCCAACCCAACAATGTCGCGCATGGCGCAGGCAGTCGGGGCGGCGACGCATATTTGTGCAGATTGACAATGGAATCGTTTTGGATCTGCAACTAGATAGAGCGGAGAGAGTGGATGCTGTGAAGAAGAAGGTTCAAGCGGCATTGTGCATGCCCACATCGCAAGGAGAGCTGATTTTTGGCGGGCAAGTACTTAACCGCGATCTAAGCGAGGTAGGTAACAACTCTCCTTTGTTCTTGACCACGGGTATTCATCGCAGTTGCAGCCACCCAAGCCTGTCATCCACGGAGTCGTCCACAGCGCTGGCCCCTTCCTCGCCGCCCTCACGGTATTCTCCGCACTATCATCAAGCCAAGCAAGCTTCTCCGCCGCTGAGCAAAGAATCGTACGGGAAGTCGTTCGAGATCGTAGGCGGAAGGAGCGGCGTCGGTATTAAGAGGCTGCTAAGAGAGGTCGTGAGGGGTGTGGAGGCTGACGTGGCGCCTGTCCGTGCCACCGGGGGTCTGGGTGGGGCTTATTTCTTCCGCGACCGTCGTGGGGAACCCATAGCCATTGTTAAGCCAACAGACGAAGAACCGTTAGCACCCAACAATCCCAAGGGATACGCCGGTAAAGCTCTGGGCACTGCGGGTCTGAAAAGATACATTAAAACGGGGGAAGCGGCGGTGCGCGAGGTCGCTGCCTACCTTCTAGATCATGACGGCTTTGCGAACGTCCCGAAGACGGTATTGGTGAAGGCTACGCATTCCGTTTTTCACGTTAACAAGAAGGACGAAATACCTGGTGGGCGCGATGACGACAAGCGTATAGGAGGACAGGGGGACTCCTCGCCGCCGTGCGAGTTAATATCGGCCGCTAGCAGGTGGAGCAAAAGGGCCGGTGGTGGTGGGGACGATGGTGCTGGTGGTGGTGAAGCTCGGATGCCAGTCACTAAGCTGGCGTCTCTGCAAGAATATAGGAAACACGATTTCGACGCGAGTGACCACGGCACGTCCCGCTTTCCCGTGTCCATGGTTCACAGGATAGGTATTTTGGATGTCCGTATCTTCAACACGGACAGACACTCTGGAAACATCCTCGTTAGAAAGTTGAGTAGGGAGGAGGAGCGTATCTCTAGGGCGGCTGATGGCTTTTCGTCCAATTTCGAAGGAGCGGAGTCCGTGGAACTCATACCAATTGACCACGGTTATTCGCTGCCGGAGTCGCTGGAGGCGACGTACTTTGAGTGGCTGCATTGGCCTCAGGCTTCCAGGCCGTTCAGCGAGGAGGAACTGAGGTACATAGAGAAGCTCGATGCTGAGAAGGACGTGCAGATGCTTCGCAGGGAGCTGCCTACGCTTCGCGAAGCCTGCTTGAGAATGCTCGTGTTATCGACCACTTTCCTGAAGCGCGCTGCGGCTGCTGGTTTGACGCTGGCAGATATTGGCGCTATGATGAGCCCTGAGCTTACCGGCATGGGCGAGGAACCTAGTCTCCTGGAGTCCATTTGCATGTCCGCCAAGGCGCGAGCCGACACGCAATTAAGGTATGGATGCCTGGACGACGGTGGCATGTTTGGCGCGGCGGTACTGAATGGGGGTGGCGATGATTCGGACTTTACGGAGGACGACGATGGAAGTTTCAGCGGAGAGCATCAGTTCCAATTCGACATGGATAATGACGAAGATGATGGGTTTTGCCTGTCGCCGATGACGGTACTGTCGCCTCTCTTTGGTAACTACTCCCCGTCGCCGTTGTCGTCATCGCCGGCGAGTATGGGATGCTGCGGAGGGGCGGGGAAAGAGCTGTTGCTGTCAATGCCCCTGATGCCGCTGGAAGAGGTGAATGAACTGGAGCGAGGCGTGGAGGTGAGCAGGCGGCTCTCTTTCGGAGGAGGTGGAATGGAGAGGGAGAGAGAGAGCATGGCGGTGGGGTGTGGGGGGGCTTCGTCCCTGAGGACGGGATCGGGTAGGTACGGGAGCAGCCGCGGTGGGCCGGGGATGATGGCTGGTGCGCGGAGTAGAGCGGGCGCGGGAGGCGCTTACCCGCCAGGTCCCGCTGGATACCATCTCAGTAGAACTGCAAATGGGAGTTTCAAGCATCGGCGGTCAGGGCGGATGTTGTTGGACGATTTTGACGGTCGGGAGTTAGGCGACATGGCGAGGGCGGGAACATCGCCAGCGGTCATCCAGACCGTTGCGTGCAGCAACGGGCCACTCCTGCTGGGAGATATGACCGAGAGAGAGTGGCATATGTTCATGGAATGCGTGGTAGAGCTGTTAGACGAGGCGATACAGACAAGGAAGGAGAACGCGTTGCAGCTGAGCAGACACGGAAAGTCGTGTCAGTTTTGACGCTGTGTTTGATGGGTAGGTAATCAAGGCTAGCCGCGGAGGACGAGGGAGAGCTGCGCAATATGGCAATAAGGATAGTCTTCTCGGTGTGGGGTGATGACGTTGTTAATGGATCCGGGAAGGAAAGAAGTAAGGTGGTATAGTGGTGAGGATGGAAGGATGAAGGATGGGGATGGGGCCTTCGCGTCTCCGAAGGCGAGGCGATGGATGACGTACGAGTTTTTCCGGAAGAGGGAGGGTGGGTGGGTGGACGGGGGGAGGGGGAGGGGGAGGGGGGGGAAGGGGAAGGGGGGAGGACCGCGGGTGCCAATTTGTGTCTAAAGGGGGTATAGGAACGGGAGTTGACGTAGGTACGGAATAATCCTTAGCGTTGTCTTCGTGAATTAGGCTGTCGGTTAGTCGGTTTCGCCAAGACGCGGGAGGGGCGATCGGGCTACGGAGTAGCGGAGGTCGTTGTGAGCCCTGCGTTGGGTTGGGTGAGCCCCTGCTCTTGTCTGCCGTGAAGGGTGTGTTCGCGGCAGATTGAGGAGGAAATCGGGGAGAAAGGGAGGGGG